TCAAGTCTGAAAGATTGCAGAACCGTATAAATCAAAGTGCTCTGCTGTGTGTTCGTTCACCATAGGAAGTTGCATCTATGTTTAGATTTATCGAGTTAGAAACACGTTTCTTCTAAAAGCTGCTTTTGGATATGGGAGTATAGGATGTATAATAGGAAATATCTGACTCCAAAACCAAAACGAAGCTATATAGCAGAATGAATGTCAAAGCATACATTCAACTTACAGAGTAAACAACATGTGTGAATGTAGCAGTTCAGAAACCCTTTATTTGGAGACTGTAGAAACAGATATTTCCAGGTATATACAGGCGTAGGATAATTAGCTGTATGATCAAGTCTAAAACACTGGAGAAACATATATATCAAACTGCTCTGCTGTGTGTTGGCTCTCCTTAAGTTGCGTCTCTGTGTAGATTCATCGAGTTAGAAACACGTTTCTTCCAAAAGCTGGGAGTGGATATTCCTGAGTGAATGGGAGTATAGGATGTAATGGGAAATACCTGGCTCTAAAACCAAAACGGAGCTATCTAGCAGGACGACTGTCAAAGCGTAGATTCACCTTGCAGAGTTAAACTGATGTGTGAATGTAGCGGTTCCGAAACTCTTTTTTTTTTTTTTTTTTTGTGAGAAAACCAGAATGTTTATTGCATCAAACAACTAGATCATCAGTAGCAACATGCCACACCATTGCAACCGTTGTGTTTTTGCCATAGGCGCCCGATGGGACACCCAGTCAGGAACCATTGTCGAAGCCCGTCTCAAGGAGCTGACATGCACAATGCCGGTCATCTTTGCGAAGGCCACCCTCATGGACAGACAAGAAACCAGACAAACCTATGAGTGCCCAGTGTACAGAAGCAAACTGAGAGGCCCCAGCTACATCTGGACCTTTAGGCTGAAAAGCAAAGAGAAGACTGCAACATGGGTCCTGGCCGGAGTGGCCCTGCTGCTAGAAGCGTAAGATAACACGGGCCTGCCTCTCACCTTGCGGGCATGCAGTGAGGATTTTCTACTGTGTTGCTGCACTGTCCCCATGCACCTAATGTATCCTATTAGAACGTTTTAGTACCTCACACATGCATTCTCTTTTTTCAACACTATCCTTAAAAAGTGAAGGGGAGAGAAAAATCAGCAAATGCAGAAAAAAATATTAGAAACCTATTCTATGTCCAGTGATTGATTGATTGATTGATTGTAGCTTTCCCTCTGACACCTCATGGCTACCTCAAGACAGACAAAAAAGTACACCTGAGGCTGGGCACGGTGGCTCACGCCTGTAATCCCAGCAGTTTGTGACGTTGAGGCAGGAGGTCAGGAGTTTGAGACCATCCTGGCTAACATGGTGAAACCCTGTATCCACAAAAAATTTGCATGGCATGAGCTATGCGGGAGGCTGAGGCAGAAGAATCACGTGAACCCGGGAGGTTGCAGTGACCTGAGATGGTGCCATTGTACTCCATCTATCTCAAAAAGAAAAAACAAGACAAAAGTACATCTAAACATACAGCTACAAAAGAAATGCAGCCAAAAAAAGGGGGATTTTTAAACAGCAAATTAAATTAAAAATTTTTACCCCCTACATTCTTTTCAAAATGTAGAAGCAGCAGGCCCCACCTGAGTCCTGAAGACAAATGCTGGTACTCCGAGCCCTCCAGTGTCTACAACATTGACTGACTGTCCCCTTTTGTTCTGTCAAGTTTAATCTTCTGTGGTTAAATTGCACTTTGTTCAGTATAAATTTCCAATGACCCAGAGCAGGTTAAACGATATGTGTGGTCTGCTGAACTGTGGTCACTCATGCTAAGGCAAACTAAAGGATATAGGACCCCTGTACAGACTTGGCCTGGAGTTACTGTTTGGGAAGCGAAAGATCAACAGGAGCTGCTCATACAATGTTTTCTAACTTACCTGAACTTTAACTCCACCCCGTTTAAAGTTTAAATTGTGCTTTTTAATCATTGGCAGATACTTTTAACAAAATACAGAATACAAACAGGTCTGTGTATACAACTATCTAGATTCCTCTGCTCTG